CTAACGTGAGGGCATTTGTATTTTCGTAAACCGTGCGAAAACTTTTCACTACATTAGCTGGAAACGAATTAATTCTCACAGGTTAGCTGATAATAAAAGGCGTAAACTAGTAACCAAAAAAATAATGTAAGCAGGTGTCATGATTCTCATATTATGCCCGCTACAATATTTCTAAATCTATTCTAAGATACAATACATCAATCATTATAACGTGCTTGCTGATGTAAGATGCGGGTCAGAGGAGAAATTATACACGTGTGTGGCCAAACAGAGTTGAAAAAAAAAGACACGGCCACAAGGATAATAGCGTCTGAATAATGTTTTATTCAGAAACATGGACAAATATCATTGAAAGTGTGGTGCTGATGAAGGTAACGAGGAAGACTGGCCTGAAGGAAGACAGACGGAATATTCTGAGGGTTTTATAGAGCAGGTTCGGTGGTAACTTCCTAAACCAGTGGTCAAACTTGCGGTCATACAATTGTAGACAAATTGTCTGGGGAATTGGGAGTACTACTTAAAAATTACCGGGATGGACCACGGAGAAATACTGGTATCTATAAGATTACAAATCTACCACAAATTGGAACTGCATCGACGGTATCAAAAAGAAATCATTGGCTGGGTTTAAACAGTGACGAATTCTGGGCTTCCACATATTATGAGAGAGCAGTTCCTACATATGCCGATTTTCTTTTTGCTCTTTTTTCTTATTCTTAATAAAACATGACAGAAATTAATCTTAATCGAGGAATAGATGAGATAAAAACAACAGCAAATCAACACCAAAGAGTAAAAAGCATGTACTTTGCAAGCACGGGGGACAGAAATGAAAGAAAATAGTAGAAGCGCCCTCTCAAAGGGCGACAGCACACGACGCGTCGCGTCGTGTCGTGCGTCGCGTCGTGCTTCAGGCGACGTAATAGGCGACGCGATGCACGACACGATATACGACGCGACGCACGACGGTACGACGCGACGGGCAACGGAAGGGGCGACATTTAGGCGGGAAAAATGAAACATGGAAAATATCTGAGACAGCACAACGCGACGGGCGACGGCACGA